ACTTTTCGTCACGTGTTACCCAAAATTTCTATAGGAGTTCTGAGCGATTTTATGGATTTCTCAAAATTAAGCATCACGTGCTCAAAACATTTGACCATAACAAAATCTGGCGCTTTTTCTCAAAAGTTTTTTTGAATTTGGACCGGAACTCTATGTGGATGATATAAGAGTTCTAATGGATTTGATGGAATCCTCAAAATAATAAAAAATTGATATTGCGTAAAAAATTGATACAAAAAACCTTTTGTGTTTTGTAAGATATTTTATCGAGTTTCTACCGGAACTCTCAGAGTTCTCGTAGAACTCCACAATAGATGCATTAAAACATTCCATTTCCATAATTTATTTCTCTCGATAAAATGCAACCATAACGCCATATAATCTCCAAAAGACATATCGCAAAAAAGAAATTGATATTGAAAATGTCCAATTAAAAATTGAATTTAAAATTCAATGAAAAAATTGAAATTTCAAATGCAACATTAATTGTACTCCACAGAATTCGCAAGTTTTTCCACTAATTTTATATTTTCATTATGAAAAATAAAACGAATATTCATCCGAAAATGCCCACTCCAACGCTTGGCGATTAATGATTGCAACGTAAATCGAGTTCAATTACACAAATGAGTGTCCATTCACGTAAAAAATCGATTCCACAGCTGCGAGACATTAAATTAATCAGTGGATCTCCGTGGAAGGTGAATATTGGGTGAAATTCGATGAGTAATGGAGAACAGTGTGATTCGATGAAACAAATGTAAACGAATTTATTTACCTGGGCATGAATGTATTTGCTGTATCGGTGGCTGTTGATAACGCAGATGACGAGGAGATTTGCGAGGAGAATTCCCAGACTCAGCATGAGGATTAAAGCTGCTCGAATGAGTTCCCCGGGGCCTGGGGTTGTCCACATAATTTTCGATGAGCCATCTGGCCAACAGCTACTGTTGTTCAAAGCTGGTGGCAGCAGAGTGGGCGACTGATGCTCTAACATCATTCAGACACTGATGGCACTGAACCCACCGCCTATTTATTCAAGTTTCTACGTCCCGCTAAGAGGACACTGTTGAGGGACTAGCCAACACAGCTACTCCCAGTCCAACGATCGAATGGGAATTTGATCGTCGAACTCCCAGCATCGTATAATTTATCTTCCTCCCTGCGACAAGTTTCGAATTAATTACACTGTTTCATTCGTGTCGGTGAACTGAAACTGAACATTGAAAATTCAGGAAAAAGTGCGCGAGTTAGGTAATACTGGGGTGAAAAGCCATGTCATAAAAATTTTTTTTTGAAAAATTCTATTCGATTTATGATGGGAGGGGATAAGAATTGTATTGGAGTTTCACTGGAACTCGACACGAGTTTGTGATGGCACCCCGGTGAGTGCTCATTTCACGATTTCAAAAGATTTTAAATGATTTCGGGAAATGATTGATTTCAAGTGAATAAATTATTTCAAGAGGTTTCTCACCGATTTTGTCTTGATGATGTCAAATGATTTTCATTGATTTAATATTCTCGATTTCATCATTTGCGGAATAGCAACTAGGCCAGTGAACGAAATATTTCGAGCTATATCGGGAATTTTGAGATATATCGATACTTTCGAGGTATATCGATATTTTTAGATATATCGATACTTTCAAGATATATCGAAACTTTTTTTATATATCGAGACTCGAGATATTCCAAGACTCTTGAGATATATCGAGATTTTCGTGACATATCGAGTCTTTCGAGATATATCGAGACTTTCAAGATATATCGATACTTTTTAGATATATCGGGCCTTTCGAGATATACCGAGAGTTTTAAGATATATCGATACTTTCGAGATATATCGAGACTTTTGCGATACATCGAGACTTTTGAGATATATCGAAACTTTCGAGATATTTCGATATCTATTTCCTTTCTCCTTATATGAGCAACTTTTGTGGTTCATATTCCAAAATCTCATCATTTTTACTGATTCTTTATTCAGCGTTCACCTATTTCTAGAATCAAAATAGCTAGATCTACTTTCAAGACAAAATTCTTAACATATTGTTGTTTTTATGAATGCTCCGAGAAAAAATGCTGTTTGCGGAATTACCTTGAAACCTCAGTACTACGCATTTTTCACTCTCGTTGCAAATGTTCCGATTAATCATCCAAAATGCTGGATCCAGGGGAGACATTTATATCAAGCCAAAAAGCAGTGATGTTGAAGCGTCAGCATTGCCGGCAGTTGAATCATGATTGTACATTCGAGTCACTTCACTCTCCAGCTTTTTACCGCAACCCAACATCTGACGACAGATTAATTAATCATGACGGGTTAATTGACGGTTTTATTATTTTACGTATTCTATAGTTAAAAAACAAATAATATTCAACAATATATTCTGTATTATAGCAGATTTCATATTCAAACGTCCGATTGGTATGGGAAATGATTTCTCAATTATCGACGTCGGTAGCTCAGTGGCTAGGTGCAAGCCTAGTGTTCTGGAAGTTGTAGGTTCGATTCCCCGTTGAATCGAATTTTTTCACAGACATCGATGAGTGAGAGGTTGCTAATAGAGAAACCACCTCTACCGACATGGTTTTTCCTGAGGTTTCCCAGGTCATTCCTATGTTCTATAGGGGAGTGAATACGGTACAGTGTAGGATCCACACCCGCATGCATAGGGTGGAACGACGCCAATTAACCAAAAAAAAAGACAAAAGGGTCGGAATATAAGAAAAGAACAAAGATTCCTCAATTATTCTATTCATCTACAACATTTTTGCCTCTCATTTTTGCTCATGGGATTGCAAATATAAAAACCGCAGGCCCCTGTTTTGCACATGGTGACAAAGGAAAACTATAAAGACGAGAGAATAAAGGCGCATTACAGTTTCTGTCTGAGTTAGTGTCTCCTAGATAGAAGAGCCTCATACATCTCTCAGTAAAGAATTTAAACGTAAGTATAACATGATGTGATAATTTTTGAAGGCCAGAATGATATATTATACCCTCCAGTACACCGAAAAAAAAAAGTTCAATCGAGTATAAAATATATTTGATTCAATTTTTGTTTACCGTGTAATAAGAGTATGGCAATGTAAAATAATAATGAATAATTTCCGTTTCACATTTCAATTATTTATATTATATTGAAATATTAACTCAATTTTTCATTAATTCTGACGTAAAAGTTGTGTATTGTTGATTCGTTATTCGTTAAAGGAATTAATAAATATATTATAAAAATTTACAAATATATGTATATACACCATATACATACAGCATTATTGCCTATCGTCTTTGAGTCATTATAATTCTTAAAGTATCCCGTATTTCTGAAGAAAATTCCAAAATTAAGAAAAGGATTGCACATCAATTCAATTTTGTTCCAATTTTGTTTTGAATCCGCACCGCCATCAATGAAATATTAATTAACGTTACACTAACAACAAAATTTCTTTTGCCAAATATATTTTCTTGTGGTTAGTAAAGATTCTGGGGAAAATAATTTTTTTTTTCACAGTCTACACTGGATTTTTTAAAAGGATCCAATACTTATTTTACTAAAATTATTTTGGTCCACAGTTCCAATACGTCCAATATAAAATAAATAGAATCGCATGACAGAGGCGCAACATTTCTCTGTCTATTTTTCCTACATGATAATAATGAAAAAGTCGTATTATTCCACTACCCCCGGCGGAAATGGTATTTGGTTACGGTGATTTACGATCTCTATACTGCTGATTATACACCCGCCATTAAACTCAATGAAAAACACATTCTACCCCTCCCTCTGCAACCCCCCCTGATAGTGTGTCCCAACGGTTTATCATTTTTATGAATGACTTTTCATTTCATTTATTCTTTTATTTATGACCCAGTCATTTCATTTTTTCCAGTCACATCTTGGAGAGAATGGAAACGAGGAAGACGGTATTGAAATCAACTTCTACAGCGCGTGTATTGATTCGAGTGGGAAGAAATATCAGGAGCGATTCGAGTTACAACTAATGAGGTACGAGGGAATGAGACCACACGGCGAAAGGTGGTAATAATAATTAGAATTTTTGCACGTACGAACACATTTTGCAATTATCACCAGCCGAGTTTTCAGGATTAATCATCGGGGGAATGGGAATATCGAACTGGTTGAGGGTAAATTATCACTTCTGGGTGGGAATTCCGGTGAGTAGTCGAGCAAATGATTTTTTATTTTGAGTGTTTTTTTCTTTCCATGGAACAGTTGGTACAGTATTGATTGAAATTCTTAGCATTCTGGAATTTATAGGGTTTTAAGTGGCACCAATACCAGCGGAATATTTTATTATTAAATCTATAACAAGTTAATTTCGTAAACAAACTATATATTAATAAAATATATATTATATATTATTTATATTATTATATAAATAGTCTACAAACAATATAAATAATTCACACATTAAAAATGTCAGAATGTGTTTTAATTGGGAATTATTATAGTGCCAAGAGAGTAACTCAAGGTCACGGCCCATGAAGGATACATGTTACGAATTTTGTTCATAAAAAAGTAGATGAATATATGCACAATGGTATAAAAAATTTGTTCATGTTAGAGGAACAAAATGGCACAAATTGCGGGTGATTTCGAGAGCACTAAGTATCGTAATGAATTTTCAAAATTGTGAGGTGGGTGATGAGTGTGCACAGCGCCATCTTGATTTTTTGATGACTCAAAAAGGTTAAATTCCTTAGTTGCTACTCAGTTCCGATGCTAATTATACAGAGAGAAATATTTAGTAAAAATTTCGGAACTGTCAGTTCGCTTATCGATTACGAATTGTTACGAAAAATTTAAGTGACGGTATCATAATTTTTCATTTATAATTCAAATAAAAATTACGGAACGCGGCATAAAAATTCCGTGACTTTAGATAAAAATGACGTGACAGTTCCGTAAAATTTCCCATT